TCCTGCCCTGAGTTCCTATCTTGGGCTCCCTGATGAACTGTGACCTGGGAGATGTAAGATAAATAAACCCTTTCCTCCCCAAGTTGGTAGTGGTCAGAGTATTTTGTCATAGCAGTGAAGAAACAAACTAAGACATGGTGGTGGGAGCAAGAGGAAGCAACAGGAAAGAACCAAAGGAAAGAAGCATAACTGTGTTTGTCTGGTCTTTCACCAGAGCGCTTTCCAAATGGAGCTGAAAGAATGGCCCCCTTCAAGACCCAGGGTGGGGGAAGAAGGGGAGGATCAGAACGCCTGAGTGCCCTCATGTGGATCTGCCATGTGGATTGCTTCATGCCATGGAAACTACCCCACCGCAAATATATTGTTATGTATAGGTAAGAGACATATCATCTGCAAAACAATCATTAACTTTAACATCTCTAACCGGTGCCTGAAAATTTATGTGTAGGATTGTGAGCTTGTATTGATTTGTGTCTTTTATTGCGATTTTTAAAAATAATTGGGTTATGTGGCGGCTAAAAAAGTTAAAAGGATCACAAAAGATGAAGAAAAGTGCCTGCAGACGCTGCGATGAAAGCCCTGACCCCCAGATGCCTGGCTGAAGGCCCAGTACAGGAAGAGGCCGCTGGAGTCGAGGTCCTGGGGGAAGTGGACCCGAAAGCCTCGGTGGCTTTGTGTTTGGTGTCCCTACGCATCCCACCGGGGCGAGGCGGTGCGTGGCAGTTCACAGTTTAAAGGGAACTGCTCCTTTTCCAGCCACATAATCCAGGACTGGAAAGTTCAACAAGTGCATGAAACATCAGAGATCTTCCGGAAACGCTGAATTTGCTCAGAGAGGTTGAGGCTCAGCTGCTTCTCTGGGCAGCCTGCCGGCTCAGCAGTCAGCGCAGGCCACAGCACCCTGCCTTGCACAGCCCTTTTCTGCCTTCAGCGGCCCCCTTCCCGGAGTTGTAGCCCTTCCCAGGCCTGCCTCCCAGCTCCGCCCCTCTCCCTGGACGCATCTCTGGGCCCCATCATCACCCGGCGCCGGGCCCTCCCTCTGCCCCCCCTCCTCCCTCCTTCCTTCCCTCCCTTCCTCCCTCTCTCCCTCCCTCCCGGCTCCTGCACCAGGAAACGGCCGGATCCCGGCAGCGGCCTGACCCGTGAGATCCCTAACCTGGCTGGCGGGCGGGGTTGGAGACCGGCTGAGGGTGGGGGCAAGGGAGGAGCTGGGCCTTTGGGCTGCACTTGGGGGAGCCGGGAGTGGACGTGGTGTCGGCTGGAAGCCCGTGGCCCTGGGTTTCCCGGGAGGACAGTCATTAAACATGGGATCGGCCACACAGCTGGCAGAGCGTTGGGGGCAGGGGCCCAGTCCCAGGAACTGCAATTCCAGCCTTTTCCAGACCAGATCCGGATCCCTGGCCTTCTCCACCTAGTTCTGATCTCTCCCTCCCTTTCCAGGGCTCCAAGCTGGCTGGGAGAATGAAAGGCCTCAGCTGGAGGCTCCTTGCCACCAGCACTGGGTCCTAAGAGCTGCCATCCAGGCTGGGTGAGTGCCCTCTTCCTTTTCACCCTTACAGCCCTTCGCTTTCCCCACCTTTCTTCAGACCATCTCCTCCCTATCTTGTGCCTCTGCCAATGCTTCTGGGGAACTCCTAAGCTCCTTCCTGTTGCTAAAAAGGTGTGTACTGGGGGTGGGGGTGGGGGTGGGTGCAAAGGTGTCACACAGATCGTGTTGTCTTATTACGAACGAAAGAATCTAAAGTACTCTACAATTCCTAGTTTTTAGTTTGATTATTATAAGTTACTTAGGCCCTGGCCCTACACCATGGCCTTACATCCCGTTCTTGCTTGTCCCTGCTCAGTGGTCTTGAGCATTCCTCCTTTCTCAGTAGCCTGGTCGAACCAGAAATGTCTCTTGAGTCTCTGTCCACGTTTTCTATATGTTCATGCCACATTCTGTCATCCTTGCCCCTTTCAGCCGCCCGGATGGCGACCCCAGCCTCTGCCCCAGACACACGGGCTCTGGTGGCTGACTTTGTAGGCTATAAGCTGAGGCAGAAGGGTTATGTCTGTGGAGCTGGCCCCGGGGAAGGCCCAGCAGCCGACCCTCTGCACCAAGCCATGCGGGCAGCTGGAGATGAGTTTGAGACCCGCTTCCGGCGCACCTTCTCTGATCTAGCCGCTCAGCTGCATGTGACCCCAGGCTCAGCCCAGCAACGCTTCACCCAGGTGTCCGACGAACTTTTCCAAGGGGGCCCCAACTGGGGTCGTCTTGTGGCATTCTTTGTCTTTGGGGCTGCCTTGTGTGCTGAGAGTGTCAACAAAGAGATGGAGCCACTGGTGGGACAAGTGCAGGATTGGATGGTGACCTACCTGGAGACGCGCCTGGCTGACTGGATCCACAGCAGTGGGGGCTGGGTAAGAAGCTTCTTAGTTGTGTCCTCTACACATCCCTCTGCAAAGGTGGTCTGGGGGTGGTGGGGGGAGGCTGGGGCAGCTATGCTGGGAAGGAGCCATGGGGGTGGAGTTCTGTTATTTAGTGGACTCAGACTGAGCATCACTCTGACCTCTGCACTCCAGGGCAGCTATGTCCTCGGATGGGCTCATGGTCCCAAGCAGAGAACAGTTCTATGTTTGGTACCCAAAGAGTGCCTGCAGAGAAACGGTGTTACTCCTGAGTACATAGCACGGGAGGTGGGGAGGATCAGGGACAGGGCATAGTTAGGCAAGTCTTACCAAAAGATGCCGGTTCTGAACAGAAACTTTCTGCCAAGGAAAGGCTGGGGTTCACTTGATGCAGATAGTGCAGATGAGCCAGGTACCCTGGGCAGGGGGTTCAGAAGGGCTTGTAGTCAGTGGAGCTTTGGCTGAAGAGGAACTGGGTGTGGGGTAGTGCCCACAGTGGATGCAACTGGAACTCTTCCTCTCCTCTCTTCTCCACTCTCCTTTCCTGATATCCCTTTCTCCTTCTTTCTCTACTTCCCTTCTCTCCCACAGGCGGAGTTCACAGCTCTATACGGGGACGGGGCCCTGGAGGAGGCGCGGCGTCTGCGGGAGGGGAACTGGGCATCAGTGAGGACAGTGCTGACGGGGGCTGTGGCACTGGGGGCCCTGGTAACTGTAGGGGCCTTTTTTGCCAGCAAGTGAGAAAGTCTGGGGCCAGGTGGGGCTAGGTTGTGGCTAGGTGCCAGAACTGGAACAAAACAGAGAATGCCCTTGGAAGAAATCAGATGGTCAGGGAACAGAAAAGGGCAGGGGAGGTGGTGTGTGAGGGAGCTGAGCCTGCCAGGCAGGTGGCAGGAAGGATGAGTTGGAAATACTGGGGAATGCTTGAAGGCCAGGAGCCCAGGAGATGGAGTGATTCCAGGGTTTGGGGGGAGGTGGAGGGATCCTGCCTTTTGTTGTGGGCACATGACTACCTGGAGCTTGGTTTGTGGCTCTGAGGAAGGTGGACTTCCACAAGGAGTTGTGTCTCCATTGGATAAGTGGGATTTAGGGAACCTAGAATTTACATCCCTTTGGAGTGGAAGCTTGGTGATCAGGAGATTGGGGGAAGTGACTGTGGTTGTGGGCTGTTTGGACACGTGTGCATGTGCACATGCACGCATGCTCATGTGCATGCTGGGCTGTTTGTCTAATCTGGTGGTGGGATTCTTCAGTGAGAAAACATTCCTTCTTGCAGTGGCAAGAACAAGGGACAGTTCACTGCCCCTCTTCCCCCTCTGCCCTTTCCCCTTGGCCTGATGCTTCAAGGCTGAGGGAGGAACACTATCTAGATAGAGGGCTCTGGCACTCCCCTGCAGAAAGTTGTTGGCAGGGCTTTGGCGAGAAGAGCTCTGCAGCTGGCTTGTTCTTCATTGTCCCCCTTGTGTGCATCTTTGCACTTGCTGCTGCCTCCTGGGCTGACATAGGGCTGTGGGTGTGGGTGAGTGGAAGCTTTGGTAGCTGGACCTGCCTGCCGCCTTCCCTTCCCACCATGGCACAATGGTGCCTAAGTACTGCCTATTTCTAGGACCTCTGTATCCAACTTCAATTCTAAATTGGGGCTCTTATTTTCTTTTTGAGGATATGGACATACACACTGATCTGGAATTCAGCTTGGGTCCTGCACTGTGTCTCGGTGAGACTGCTGATGCCTTGAAAGGGCCATTCCAGCTCTAAGCCCCTTGGGTGTGATGGTGATAGGTACCACCTCACTGAATTATTTTGTGTGGTGGGCTTTGGTGCTGCTTTATCAGGGGCCAGGTATATGGGTTCTTAGAGTACCTAACCCTGACCTAGACACATTAGTTTCCTTTGAAGCCTCATGCTCTTTGCATGGGTGTTACTTGTCTGTACTTGAGTGTCTAAGGATGCTAACATTAGAACTCACAGTCCAGCCCTGAACAAGCTCCAGACGATAGCTTTTTCTTTTGAGAAATTATTCACTCCAAATGCATGCCCTGAGCCAGACCTCACTGCTGCACTTTCCGAGGTGCTAACATTGCTGCTCTTCGATGCTGACTTTGATCAGTGCTCTAGAACCCTGCTTGTGATCCTGAGCACTGATCAACTTACTAGACCATAGCTGACTCGATTTAGAGATTTTCACTTGGTCCTAGAATGTGGCATCATATTGCGCTTGCTAGAATGTGGGACCACATTGGCCTCAGGTGTTAATCCAGACTTTTGCTTTTGAGAGAGGGTTGCACTTTTTAATGGTATTTATGGGGGATGTGGTAGACTGCATGTGCCATGTGGTCTGTTGAATGTGCTGGTACAAGAACTCAGAGCTGGTCTGTGGCAGGCAGTTGGGGTTGGGGTTAGGGGCTCTGACTTGCTCAGGACAAACCAGGCCAGTGGTTTTCAAACTGCTTGGCAGAGCCCCAAAGTGTCCTAGGGGTTGCCTCAGGAGTCCTTAGGGAGATGAGGGAGTAGTGGGCTGAGCATGCTGGGCAACTTGCCCTTAAACAGAACAGCTTCTCTTGTAGCTGTTTTATGTATCGGGGTTCAGGGTAAGATTTTATTTGCATTAAGGGGTTTGCTGCTGAAAAAAGAGAACCACTGACTAGACCATCAGCTGTAAATTGGAGCCTGTGCTCCTCCAAGTTCAGGGAAGACTCTTTACCCTGCCCTCTACCACTGGATACCCACTCATGTTAGCATTCCTGGGGGCCTTCAGCAAACAGGAGCAGCAGGAACTAAGATCAGGTTACCAAAGTGCTCTGCTGGAAAGCCTTCACACCAGGGGGAAAGGACAGGCTGTTTTCTGAAAGGGTAAAGGGCTTGGTTTGGATTCCCAGAAGCGTAGCTTAGCCAGGACCGCAATGAGGAGTTTTGACCTGTTCTGCCCTTAGTTTGAGGGCCAATGGAAACCCCAGAGACTTCTGTCAGGGAAAACCCGGGACTGTCTTTCTAGAGCCATATAGCTCCTTGGGATTAGCTCTTGGCCTAGAAGGCCGAGTATGGCTCCCAATTTTTAAATCCAGTTCATTTTTTAAATGAGGGAAATGAATATAATCGCCACATTTCAAAGATTAACTAGGTGGAGAGGACGTTTCTTGCTCTCTAAAGCCCAAAGGGACAAATAGGGACTTTGCTTAGGCCAAGGAAGGAGCGGAAGTAGGGCATCTCAGTCCTGCGTTTATTAATCCCACTCCCCACTTATACTAGGACATACATATACTATTTTACTTTTTTAAATCATAAACGGCAGGAGAACAGATTTGGTTAGTTTAGAAGAAAAGAAAAAAAGCTCTATAAATATAAATATATATTCCTGTATTTTTATTTAATAATTTATAAATGCCAAGTTCATTTGACTTTTATTTTTGTGTAATATGTAATGGTCGTATTAAAAAATAAATAAAGCCCAGAAATTTATTGAGAAATACTGCACAGGGTTTTGTGACTTCTATACTATATAGCCTGGGATCAGAACATACCTTAAACTAGTCATCTCATGACCATGACCTTGCTAAAAGCAATAATTAAGAGTTATAGGTATTTAGGAAAGTAGAGAGACTTAAATAAAAAAGAAATCAGGGTTGTTTCAATATCTATACCCACCCCACCCTAGCCAAACTATCCCAACTGGAGGGTATAGGTTCCCAGCACTTGAGAGGCAGAGGCAGATGGATCTCCGTGAGTTCAAGGCCAGTCTGGCTTACATAGTGAGTCCCAGGCCAGCTGGGGCTACAGAGAGACCCTGTCTCAAAAAGGAAAAAAAAAAAAAAAAAGGGTGTAGGTATACAGTACATTGGGACACTCCTACACAATACACCCCTCCCAGCACCTACAAAAAGACCCTGGCTTGGTGGTGTGGGGGTGAACACCTGCAATTCCAGCAATCAAAGGTGGAGATAGGAAGATCAGTTCAAGGTGGGACATCCAGTTACTTAGTGAGTTCAAGGCCAGCCTGGGCTACATGAAATATTGTCTCAGACAAAAACAAGGATCTCCCTGTAGTCCCAGCTGGCCTGGAACTTGCTGTGTAGGCCAGGCTGGCCTCTATCTCAAAGAAATCTGCCTGCTTCTGCCTCCCAAGTGCAGGGATTAAAGGTGTGTGCTACTGTGCCCAGCTATTTTTATTGTATATGTATGAGTATTTTGCCTACATGTGTGCAAGTATACCACTTGTGTGCAAACCTGTGAGGGGATATAACAAGGTGCTGGATATCCTGGAACTGGAGTTACAGAACATTGTTAGTCATCATGTGGGTGCTGGGAACCGAACCTGGGTCCTCTGCAAGCCATCCTTCCATCCCTTAAGAGTATTAATAGTAGTTCCAAAACAAAAGCTAGGTTGTGAATTCAGCTCTGAGTTTTATGGCAGCCAAAGCAAACTGGAAAGCAGAGGAGATTCATAGTCCTCTTATTAGTTACTCAATAAGACAAAGTTTCCTAAAAAGACTGTGATATAATCAGTGGCAAATATAATCCATAACGATTTCCTTAAGAAACACCAAATGGGGATTCAGAAGGTATTTTGGTTTGTTCCATTGTCCTCATTTACAGTTAAGCCTGAATATGGTACTTTATGATGGTCTGACTTAGTATGGGGCTAAACTTCAGACAGATGTATTGTTTCCTTTAGCCTGTGCTCTACAAATGCTGTTTATACACATCCACTTTTGATGAAATTCAGCTACACTTAGTTACAATTTTTGACCAATGTCAGGGTAGGGAGGTAGAGTTGGGGTAGTTGTGTAAGCCTAGCACATTTCAGGCAGCAGGGAGAAATCTGAGGTTCACTTCCAGCCAGGACTACATAGTCGACTTCCAGGCCAGTCTGGGCTATACGGTGAAACTCACTGTCAGTGAAGAAAACATGGAAACTTACAATTTCTGGCAAATGAATAGATGATAGCCTGTGTTTATTTAATAGCAGATTCTTTGTAATTTTTATTTCTCTCTCTGTTTTGAGAGAGAGGGTCTTACTTTGTAGCCTGGGCTGGCCTCAAACTTACAGCAATCCTCCTGCCTCAGTCCTCCCAGTGCTGGTGTTCCATCAGGCCTGACTAGATTCCTCAAAAAATTTAAGAACTACTTTAAATGTGGATATAGGTGAGATATATAAATAATGTAAAAACTCAATCAGAGGCCAGGTGTGGTGGCATATACCTTTAATCCCAACAATCCAGAGGCAGAGGAAAGTGGATCTCTGAGTTTCTAGTCAGCCAAGGCTGGCTACATAGTAGGACCCCATTTCAAACAAAACTAACAAACAAAACTCAACAGAAGCTGGGTGTGGTGCTACAAGCTGGTAATCCCAACACACGCATGCACGCATGCACCAAGAAACTTTGACCAGAAAACATAACAATGGACTAATTACTATGTAGTTAACTTTCATTCATTACTCATTCCTAGAACAAATATTCAAGCATCTTCTGAGTGTTAAGCACAATTCTAGCCCTGGAGGTGGAGAATGTACAGACACACATGTTCCTTATATTCTAGGAGGAGTCAAACAAAAACTAAATCAATTTAAAGATATGTTAGAAGGTGGTAAATACTATAAAAACAAGAATGAGGGTGGAAAATATGTAGATGTTTAAATTTGAAAATGAATGGTCAGGGAAGCCCTCATTTCTAAGGTGACTTTAGTAAAACCATGAACAATATAATTGGAAATATATTTATTGGCATGTTAAGAAGTTTCTGTACTTTCCTGGGTAAAAAATAATATTGGGGCTGGGCATGGTAGTGCACACCTGTAATCCCAGCACTGTGAGTTCCAGGCCAGCTAGGGCTACATAGTGAGACCCTGTCCCCCAAATAAATAAAATATTGGTTAGAAAGTTGTGTGTATAGCATGATCTCATTTTGCATACGTGTGCCTCTCTGTTTGACAGGTAAAGATCCCAGCAGGGTCAAGATACCATTCCTGGCTTTGTCTCTTGGGCAGATTTTGTTCTTTTTGCTGATAGTATTTTCTCTGATTCTTCTGGTAATGAACATTAAATATCTGATATAGCATCTTTTTTTCTTTTTTTTTTGTCTTTTTGAGACAGAGTCTCTCTGTACCCCAAGCTATCCTGGAACTATGTAGACCAGGTTGGCCTTGAACTCAGAGATCCGCCTGCCTCTGCCTCCCGAGTGCTGGGATTAAATGCCCGTGCCACCATGCCCAGCTCTGATATAGCATCTCAAAGCAAGTTTTTCACATAGAACTTTTTTTTCGGGGGGGGGTCTTTTGAGACGGTATCTCCTTTAGCCCCTGCTAGCCTGAAACTTGCTATGTAGACTAGGCTGGCCTCAAACTCAAGAGATCTGCCTGCCTCTGTCTCCTGAGTGCTGGGATTAAAGGCATGGGCCACCACACCTGACTACACATAGAAAGTTTTTTTTTTAATTTTATTTATTATTTTTATTTTACGTGTGTGAGTGCATTACCTGCATGTATGTGTCTTGCAATGCCACGAAGGTCAGAAGCGGGCTTCAGATTCCCCTGGAACTGGAGTTAAGGACGGTTTGTAGCTGCCATGTGGGTGCTGGGAATCGAACCCAAGTCCTCTGCAAGAGCAATCAGTGCTCTTAACCGCTGAGCCATCTCTCCAGCCCCATACAAAGTTTTTAAAAGTTAATCAAGCCCATCATGGTGGCACATGCCTGTAATCGCAGCACAGAGGCAGGAGGCTCACCAAAAGTTGGAGACCAGCCTGGTCTATAATAGCTGGTTCTAGGCCAGCCAGAGCTACATAGGCATACCCTGCATCAAAAAGTTAGCCAATCAGTGGAGTGTCAATATGGCTCAGCAGTGCTGGCCTCCGAGCCTGGCAACCTGAGTTCAGTCCCGCATGGTAGAAGGAGTGAACTGAGTCCTACAAGTTGTCCTCTGACCCCTATACACATTCTGTGGCACAAATGTGCTCCCTATAAATAAATACATAAATTAATTAATTTTTTTCCCTAAGTTAGCCAATCAATGGGCTGGAGCTGAAGAAATGGCTCAGCAGTTAAGAGCCTTGCTATTCAATCATGAGGACCAGAGTTCAGATCCCAGCATCACTTGGGGATCCAGCTCCAGGGGATCTGACACCTCCTTCTGGCCTCTGGGCACCAGCACACACATATAGGCATACACTCATATGGGCATACACTCATACAGACACATACAGGTGTGTATACATACACACAATCAAAACTAATGAAGCAACCTGGCAGACACCCCTTCACATTGAAATGGACACCCTACTTCTGTGCAAGGTCTGATCTAGGAAGCTAATGTAAGTATGGTCAGACCACATTTGAAGAAAGTTGGGATCTGCTCTAAAATACAGATGAGCTGGAGAGATGGCCCAGCAAAGAGTGCTTACTACTCTTGCAGAGGACCTATATTTGGTTCCCAACACCTCCATGGCAAGCTCACAATTGCCTATAACTCAAGTTCTAGGGGGTCCAATACCCTCTTCTGGCACCTGTATGAATGTGGTATACATAAATTCAAAAGGCATCCCCCCACACACATAAAAATTAATCTTTAAAAATTTAAACTAAAATAGCCAGGTATGATGGTGTATGCCTTTAATCCCAG